GAAAGTTTGGAAGGGCCGCGTAAACGACAAAAAATCGGTCCTTTAACAGTTAATGAAAAAACATTAATATTTAATTGTTTTAAATAATTTACAGACAAACATTTATGTAAAAGTGTTGATGACACAGTGGAATTAGTTAGTAGTACACTTGGTGTTGGGAAATCTACGATTTACAGAGTTGTTAAAGAAGAGAAATTTGGCGAGTTTCAAACAACACGTAAAGCTCCAGGAAAACCAAAATTTCAATTAGAAAATCTTTTGAAAGAAAGACTTCGAAGGAAAGTGCATGCGTTCTTCTTTAGAAAAGAATTTTCGACAGTAGACAAAGTTCTTGCCACGGTTCGAGATGATAAGGATTACCCTGAAATTAGTCGAAGCACACTATGAAAACTTTTAAAAGAAATAGGTTTTCTATGGAAAAAGCATTCCAGAAAGTCTATTATAATAGAAAGAAGCGATATTGTAGTATGGAGAAGAAATTACCCAAGGACTATAAAAGAAATGAGAAACCAAAGAAGAAATATATTTTATTTAGATGAAACATGGATCAACGAGGGACATAAACCAAATAAATTTTGGCAATATGAAACTGTTACAAGTCGAAGACAGGCTTTTTTAAATAATTTATCGACTGGTTTAAATCCACCATCAGGAAGGGGCGCAGACTAATAATAGTACACATCGGTAGTTCAAACGGTTTTGTTAAAGGTGGTTTATTGACTTTTGAATCTACTCGTACTGGTGACTACCATGAGGACATGAATGCTGATGTCTTTAAAGAGTGGTTCGAACAAATTATAGATCTTCTTCCTCAGAACTGTATAATAGTAATGGATAATGCAAGTTATCACTCGAGACTTATAGAAAAAATGCCCACAACCAAGTGGCTAGAAAAAGATTTACAGAATTGGCTAAATTCAAAGAATATTAAGTTCCATCCCGGTTCTGTGAGAAAAGAACTGTATCATTTGTGTTCCCTTTATAAAGAGAAATTCAAAAAATATGAAATTGATGAAATTGCAAAAAATCGTGGGATGACGGTGGTTAGATCACCACCATATCATTGCGAAGTAAACCCGATTGAACTGATATGGGCACAGATAAAGGGAGAAGTTTCAAGAAAAAATAATTCTTTTAAAATGAGTGATGTTAAACAGTTGTTTTTGGAGGCTGTAAATAATGTGAAGCCTGAAAACTGGGAAAAGGCAGTAAATCATACGATTAAAGAAGAAAAGAAAATGTGGAAGTTGGACAATATTACTGATGAAATGATCGAGCCACTCATTGTAAATATTAGTTGCGACAGTTCATCTTCTGATTTCGATTCTGATTTGGATTTGTAGGTAAGAAGTAGTTTTTATATTAAAATTATTATTTATGAACGTAACGTTGTTTAAAAGTCAAAGTTTAAACCCTTATACCTACATAACCCGTTTGACACAATGTTCTTAACATACCTTGTGGAAAAATAAAACATTTTAGAAAAAATTGCACTTTTTTACCTTCAGCTGTTTAGAAGTTATAAGCAGGTTAATTAGGTGAAAATATAAGTGTATACTCGAGGAATAACTTCAAAAAATATTTTAACTGTCTACTATAAGAAGTGATACGCCTATGGATTACGAACGCTTTATTATTTTAATACTCTCTCATACATAAAAATAGACTAAAGCGTGTCTATATTATTTCTAATATTTTGAATAGCTGCTGCAACACTTGATATGTTTATCTTAACCTTAAGAGCATCGAGCTGTCTACTCTGCAGTTGATCAAAAAGTATATCACAATTTGGCATTATTTTGCTGAAGAAAAATAACCAGAAACTAAAATTTGTCTTTCAAAATTTATCAACCCTTTAGTCTGATTAATAGTTTTTTATCGAATTCTTTGTTCATAATTTTTTCGAGACATTTAATCAAATCCTCTTTATAAACATAGCCGTTTTTTTTACACTATCTAAAACGCTTGTTCTTTTTGTAAGCGGGAGAAGTAAACAGAAAATGCAGAGAGATTGGCAAAACAACTCTTACAGCCTTATCTATTGAGCAACACTTTTCAATTTTAGATTTAATTGGTTCACGTAGCAGTGAATGTATTGGACATTTGCATAGATGTTTTTATTTTAGCTTGTACCCCTCCAACAATACCATTCAATACGGAAGCAACATCGTAACTTTGTGCTATTAGTTTTTCAGGTACTTTGTCAATTCCTAGTTCACTTAATAATAATTATGCGAATATTGTGATAATATTTAAATACGTATAAGATTTCCTCTATAAAGCGTAACATACAGCTAATAGTCCGTCCCTGGGTCGCCGTTAAACGTGTTTATTCTTTGTTTTGCCGAAAAAGAAAGAATATCTTTACCTTCAACTATACATAGCGAATAGGTTGATGTTCCAACAGGATGGTGCCCCACCACATTACGCATTACGTATTCGACAATGTTTAGATCAGACGTTTCTAGGTCGATGGATTGGTAGAAGAGGTGCCATTGAATGGCCCCCAAGATCGCTAGATTTATCATCGTTAGAAGATTTGCAACAAAGAATTGTGAACGAATGCCTTAAATATTGCAAAATCTTTATTAGTGCATGAAGAGTCATGGTGGCCATTTCCAACATTTACTTGGCTGATGGGTCAGTTCATTCTTCATTTTTAAACTACTTTGCTGCTAAATGTATTGATCTCCATTAATGATGATGTATTCAATTCTTCTTTAAGCTTTAAATCAAAAAATTTTCGAAACTACTGAGAAGTACATGAATTTTACATCAAAAAAGAACTGAGCTGCCAGTAAATGTCTCTGTTTCGTTTTCGATGCGCCACCCTGTATGTATTTTAATTATAGTTAAATAAGACCATGGAAATCGTATTAAAAATAAAGTGTTTTCAAAACCTATGCACCCAGCCCTCACTAATTTCTACTTTGACTAGTTGTAATAATTTTTTAAAAAATATTTAATTTTACTTCCGCAATATTTTCGTCAAATGCTGCAATTTGGTGAGACTCTTTTTGACTGAATATATACGCCCAATTAATGTAAATTAAGACGTTCAATTTATCATATTTTAAGCTTTTCTAGGTTTTTTCAAGAATAAGGTACTACGTTCTTCTTAAGTGCTACATAAATATCGATAATACTTATTTTTTGTATATAAAACAAAATTGAATATACAGGGTATGCCATTAGTGCAAACTAGTTTCAAATAAAAGTAATAAAGATTTGAAAAATATTTTTAGATAAAATTTTTGCCTGGCAAACAAAAATGTACATTTTTAAAATAGAACACCATGTATTTAATTTAATTTTTGGAATGGTTTGGTAATACTATATTCTTCAATCTTAGATTTTTTTAAAACATTACAGGGTTGCCAATAAAGTAATATTTTTATGAACTGAAAATGATTCAGACCACAAATTAAATTTTCATAATTTTGGTAGATTTACATTGATTTTAAAATTGTTTATTATACAGACCTTTAAATTACTAAGCCAACGAATAGTGGTGATAGAACTGGTTTATTTTATACAGAGTGTTTTAAAACATATCTTAAATATGGCTAATTTTAAGTTCAATTTACTCAATATTTTCAAATACAACACCCCGTATAATATTTTAGCATAAAATTCCTTATAAATTTGCCTATCCAACGATACCAACATGTTAGCCAATAACACATATACAGGGTGTCCCATTAATAATTGATTGATAGCTGTTTTATGATTGGAAATACGAAGATGTTTTTTAATATTTAACAATTATTCTTAAATATACAGGGTGGTCCATAAACGAGGTGCTGACCAATTTTATACTTTTTTAAAGCAAAACACTTTGCAGGTACATATTTGATTGTTTTCACATCTTCAAACAATGTTAATTAACTTTATTCATTTGCTATGTTATACAGGGTTTTTCTAAATTCATGCGACAAAATTCAGGAGGTGATTGCTCTAATGAAATTAAGATGGGTCTTTCTTATAACAAAATTTTCTAGCTAGAAACTTGAAATTTTGTAATTTTAGTGCACTCGCAAAGGACTAACCACGGATATTTTTTCAATATTTCTGTTACATTATAGGGGGGTGAAATTAGCAACCCTTACTTTATTTCATATCAAAACTTTTTTCGAGATGAAGTTTTATGAAATAAAATTATAACTTGAAATCCTTGTTTTATTTAAAACAATTTTTTATTCTTATTTTTTTTTTTCACAAAACTAATAGCTGCAGAGGAAAAAATAAACACCATAATTTATATATTTTTTTTAATAAATTGAGTGGAAAACAGTAAAGATGTAAAATGTAATACGATTCATAATAAATGCTGGAAATTACCACCTATAGCCAAAATAGCTTTACTGAAATTTTAGAAAAAAGAAATAGACTCAATTTTAGTCACCACCTTTTAAGGGTGATATCTCTGAAAGGGGTGGGCTGAGGAAATTTTGTTATAGGAAAGACCAATCGTAATTTCATACGAGTAATCGCCTCCTGAATTTTGTCGCATTAATTTAGATATAGGGTGGGTCAAAACGCGAGGTTACGATTTTCTCAATTTTTTAAATGAAATACTTGGTATTAATTAATTGGTTGTATAACATACAGGGTATTCCGTTTAAAAAATTGAGAAAATCTTGCAATTTGACACCCTATATGTAAAAACAATCAAATATGTATAACTACCTGCAGGCTAAAATATTTGCATTAAAAATATATAAGTTTGGTCAGCCCCTCGTTTATGGACCACCCTATATATTTAAGAATAATTGTCAAATATATTAATTGTTTCGTATTTTAAATAGTACAACCGCTATTGATCATTTACGCACTGATGGGACACCCTGTATATGTATTAATGGATTACATATTGGTATCGTTGGATAGATACATTTATAAGGAATTTAATGCTAAAATAATATACAGGGTGTTGCATTTGAAAAAATTGAGTAAATTGAACTTAAAATTAGCCATATTTAAAACATATTTCAAAACACTCTGTATAAAATATTCCAATTCTATCTTATAAGTCTGTATTTTATCCAATTTTTAAATCATTGTAAACCTACCTAAATTATGATAATTTATTTTGGAGTCTGCATCATTCTCTAATATCATAATATTGTTTGACAAATCTATAAAATCTAACATTGCATACAGTATTACCAAACCATCCCAAAACTGAAATAAAATACAGGGTGTTCAATTTAAAAATATAAATTTTTATTTGCCAGGAAAAAATGCAATACCCTTATATCCAACTATATTTTTAAATGTATTTTTTTTAAGTCCATATTTTATTTGAAATTTGTTTGTCTTTCTATAACATAAATTGAAATATTGAACAATTACGCACTAATGGGTCACCTTGTATAGGGAGTTCCAAAAAAGTGTAGCAACATGCAACAACTTATTTTTTTTAGGTTGAATATTCTGTACCTATATACAGGGTGTCCCGTGACTCGATGGTCATGTCATAGCTTAAAATCGTATTTTTTAGACAACTTTAAGTTTCTCACGTTTCTTACCATAACAATTTGACATATCAAAATAATCTTAAAATTACGTCAGGGAAGCTGAATTTAAAAAAAAAAACGAACTGCCTACCAATACCTATATAGATTGGGATATGTAGGAAACATAAATCGCATTAACTTTTTTTGACAAAACGGTTAAAATTCTAAAGAGAATATCTCAAAATTCTTATTTACAATTTTGTTGATACAATTTTTTAAACTTTAATTTCAAATTGTTCATTTCAAAAGTTGTGATCCTTGACTAACACTAAACCTTTTCAAAGGCCCAGACTCTTTACCCTTTAATTTTGCCACAAAATTTGGAACCCTAGCTCTTAAACCGCAATAATAAGGATCTTCATATTGTTTGCCGTCTTTAGTTTTCTCTTTACCTTTACCTCTAGAAGAACCAAATGGTTTTAACCAATTTTTAGAAACGTGATCGTCATAATCTGGAGATGGGATATCCTGGGGACCTTGAGAATACATTATATTTTCTCTTGGAGGAAGTTTTGGCGGCTTATCACTCCTTCGCTGGTTGACATTGGGTAGTCTCGATCTTAATCCGCAGTAATATGGATCCTCTTCAAATTTCTTAACATCATTTTGCCGTTCTTTATCCCTTACAGTAAACGTCTTCAGCTGTCTGCCAGACATATAGTCATCGTAATCGGGTTGTGGGATATCATGCGGGTACATATTCTCTCTGGGCGGTAATTTGGGAGGCTTCTCACTCCTCCTTTGGCTTTGCATTAGTAGATGCTCCCTAGTAGCTGCTACGCTACCAACTGGATAGTTACTAAAATGGCCGCTGTCATTAGTGGCAACGCTATACGGATCTTCGTCAGGAATTGGTATTCTAGGTCTGTTCTTTATATCCATAACTCTTTGAACTGGTGGTAATTTAGACTTTAACATATCTAGTGCTACTATATTTATAATTAAAACCCAAATGGGACACTCTAGTAGTTCTGGTTCGACTTTTACGAAAGCTATCGCGCTTAAACATTGGCACTCTAATCTTCTACGATCTGGATAAGCCCTTCTTAGCTCTCGGTTAACGTTTGACTGGAATTTTTTCATATCGAAGAGTTTTACTGGTTTTTCTGGTTCTAATGCACAGTTAGGAAGTTTTAGAACTTCGTTTCCTATCGCATTTTCATTGTCTGTGGCTGTATTTTTGATATATACGTTGCATTTGGATACCCTCTTTATAAGAATGTTTCCTGTAAAGAAAAATTAATGCATGTAAAAAAATCAATAATTGTTAAATTATTTTTTAATCAAGCGAAATAAAAAGTTATTAGTATTATCTAACTACAGCACAACACTTCGGAGGGTGATTCTTTAGGTCATTTTATGAAAAAATCTGATGTGTACAATACATGACTTTCCTATCTAGTTATTACAGACTTTTTCCGGTTATTTTGTACAACCTATTGCAGCACCTCTGTAAATGTTTAGAGGATAAACTAAATATATATTTTCCACATTTAGCTCGAAAAATTTTTCTATAGATATTCATTGAAAAAGAAAATACTGAAAAATTTAAATTTAGCACCTTTCCTTTAATTTTTCCAATACGGTCAATTTTAGAAAAATCATATAAAAAACAAAAATTATAGAGATCGATATCACAAATAACTTTTATTTAAACAATTTTCCTAAAAATTTGAATTTTATTACATTTTGTCAAATTCCTCGAATACGGACCATTTTAAAAAAAATTGTATGGAACCAAAATTATAGATAATAATATTGTAAGTAATTTTTATCTAAACAATTTTCTTCTCCAAACATCAATAACAGATATATTCCATAAAATATAAAAACGGCCTCCCATAAAGTACCCCCCAAATGTTCCGCCTTCGTCCAAAATCTAATCATTTCACCTCAGGCCAAAATAAAACTTAAGTTTAAAATTTATTGTTTTTTCCTTTATCCGTTTTTGAGTTTTCTTCAAAATTCGAAATTTATATAT